CTGCAAGGCGTTCCGGGATGGTACTCCGAAAATGTACAATCTTTTGTGCCATCTCTTTCACCTCCTTCTAGCGTCGATTTGCTTCTCGTCCGCATCCTCATCGTCATTTGCCACCTCTTCGACCACCTCCATCTGCAAACTTGGCCACTTTGCCCGTGCATTTAGGGTTTCTTGCAGCTCGCGTCTCGCCATCTAACTTCTGAAGCCCTTCTCCAGATGGAGAGAAAGAGAGAGGAACCAAGGGGAAGTTTCGTATCCGGTTTTCAGAAGGATTTAAGCTGAATTCTGACAAACGGCCAAAAATGACTCCGTAAATCCCAAAATGACGCCGATTCGCGATAAATCCGGGACTAAATCCTGTAAATCCGCGGATTAAGAAAGTCCGGGACGAGCCAAGAGGAAGAATGGCGCAAACAGGCTTACCTTCCTAAATGGTTTCTGGTAGGAGCGGAGAAAGATGGGAGTTTCAGTGGTCTCTTTAAGCCGCAATCCCGCCGTTTCCTTCCAGCTAGCTCTAATGGCGACTGTATCGCCGAGTTTTGGGAAAATATTTGCGTACATGTGCGTTCATCAGGGTTATGGTTATTCAGGGGTATAATTGGGTTATACCTGAGTTATATCCCTTGTAACCTCCGGTATAATCCAGATATAACTCATTTGTACTCTCAAAATAAACTCTGATGTACGCAGCGCTGCGTACTCCCAAAATAAACTCTGATTGGGGGAGTGACAAAACCAAGGGTTTTGGGCAGAAGGGGAAGTGGAATTGGGCGAAACACGATGGGGCCGCGCTATATGGATTAATATGTAATTAATTTATATAACTAATAAATAATAATATAAATGCTCATTTTTTATACATTTTGAGACCTTGGGTATTCATAAATTTTTTATTTAATATTTATTTTTTGGATCTTCACTAATAAATAATTTTCAAAACTCTCAATCAGTTTCTCAAAATTTATCAAAATTTAATTACTGTTGAAATACCAAACAATTTTCAAGATTTAACTATCTCAGGATTTCATAAATCTGAATTTACTTATGTACATAAAAAATATGACCACATGAATCTTTAGAGCATTTAATGGATCTCGCTGAGAAGATACCAAGAGATCACATCGAGACAGTCAAAAGCTGAAGGCATCAAGCGTTGCTTTATTCAATCAGAATCATTGGTCATTGAAGGAAAAAATGCAACATAACAAAGGAACATTGTGCACATGAGCTAAAGGACATTCGTACAATCAAATTCCTCAACCAATTATGGGAAACTTCATAAAGATAATCAATGGTCGCTTCTGTTGAACATCTCTTCAACCCTTTATAAAGACCTATTGTCTAAAGGATAATTGCCCATAAGATTACGGTGATGCACCTCTGCCTGTTAACATAAGTTCATACTAATGATGAGAGGGTCTCTATAAGGTATTCTCTCAAGAAACCGATTGAAAACCTTATAACCAACCAAAGAACATTCGATCGACTGAATTAGATCTGAGCGTTTGGCGGAAAGTTTGAAGAGTCAATCATAAGCATGTTTAGAATGGGTGGGCTTGGTTGTGAAAAAAATAAAAAATTTAGCGGGCCCGACCCGAGCCCTCTTTGACTTAGTCAAAGCTTGTAATAGCCAAATCCAGCATGCCCACATAATACCTAGCCAAAAACATACCAATTTATTATTTACTCATTCGCTAATTACCTTATTCACCATTTCCTTTTGTTCGCCAAATACAGAGAAATTTGGATTTTAGATGTGTAAATATGTAAATCCCAGTCTCAGACTTATGGTCCGTTTGGGGCAGCTTATTTGGTGCGGTGGCGTTTTGAAAACGCACTTGTCCTGTTTGGATAAATTGAGTTTTGACAGCTTATGCATTTTCAAAACGCCGAAAACAGCAATCTGACTTTTATAAAAAAAATAAGATTTGGTATTAGCCACCGCACCTAGCTTATCGGTAGATTATTTTTAATCAGCTTATCAGCATATTATTCAATAAGCTGCAGCTGCCCCAAATAGGCCCTTAGTAAGTCTTTTTATTGTTTTATTTATTCTATGACGAGTTTAAGATCTAAAGCTTTCTTAGGAAAGCAAAAGTGCTCATGTTCATGTATTTACATAAATCATTGGACTTAAAAGCGATATCTTATCATATCCTATCAAAAGTTGAGATTTGGATTTTAGATATATGAAATATTGTTATTTACAAAGCTAGCACCACCTTGTATCTATTTTTCAACATCTCACCGAAATATAGAAATAACAACATATAATGTCCTATTTTTTGCCAAAGATTTTTATTGTTGGTTTTATTTTCAGATATAATTAAGCAAATAAAAATGCTTTGATTTGAAATAATTTTTTGCACATTCAAACATTATATTTCTTTTAAAGCTTGTGGGCCGGCCCAACCCGACGCGCCACATAGAGTGAATAGGTTGTTTATGATTTTTCAAATAAAAATTGAGTTCAAACACGGCCCTAGCTCGTTTTGACTGATAAGTGTCACCCATGCCAAGCTCGACCCGCCCAATGCCTAGGTCTAGACTAAACGTTTTATGTCCAACCAAACGATTATCAGACAACCAAATGCTAACCCCATAGGATCATTAGTACCCCACTACATATAGTTACGAATACAAAAAGTTGCCAATGACGGTTACAAATATTAAGGGATTCTAGAGTCGGTTACACATATGTAAAAGTGTAATGATGCATTAATTACTTGTAACATTCCCATTAAAATATGGACAAATTTGTAATTTATGTTATATCTCTTATGATCGATAAATAGGATGGTCATTCCTTCAAGATGGTACTATTGAATCCATTCCCAAAAGACATGTGTTATTGTGCTCTCTGTTTCTCTCTTCACTCTATTCCTCTTACCCGTCCAACACTTCGTTCTTTAGGTATGATCCATATGACATTTTTGGACTCGACATCAGAAAAGATGCAGTGAGTGTGGAATCATACAGTCAACTAGAAGAGAAACACACCACAGAGAATGAACACATTTTGGGGAATTTTCTAACATGAAGTCCATTTGAGAATTTGTGCAACAAAAAATTCAGGAGCTCCATAATCGAATAGTGGGACAACTAATAAAATTGGACCATGCTGTACTTGAGGGGAGAGCACGGGCTCCTCTAGAACCAAATCTTCGAGCACCTGAACCCTAAGACCATCAGATAGCTCAGGGAATCGAATGAGATCAAGAATCCCAATACTAAGATAATGTTGGGTTCATGCCAGGGAGCATACCACAAGTGGGGCGAATGGAAGTCTATCGTCGGCCCAAGGATGCATTATCCTTTCAGATTATTGATGCAAAACTTCTCAAGAAGTTTAAGATTTCATTTTTGGAACCCTACAACGATCGGAGCGATCAAGTCAATCACATGAATTCCTTTGGGTCGACTATATACCTTCTTAAGGTTTTCAAGAAAATGATTTAATGGCCTCTCAGTAAAACTTATCACTTCCATTGGTGAGTTCAAGCCCCACAAGGACTTAGAGGCCCTATGGCATGCTAAGTTGGGGTCAAATGAGAGCCTCTGAGCATACATCGCTCAGCTCCAAAAGGAGATACTGGACATGAGAAATTTAGAGCTTGCGATAGCAAATGTTGCACAGGCACAAGGGCTAAAGAGAGTGCAGTTTAAATACTGCATCGAAGCGGAAGATCCATTCCCCAATTACCTTTTAATAATGGGGATTTTCCTATGCGGGGAATCACTACAATGACATCATAGATAACTAACAGATAAGTATTATATTGATTGACGTAGACAATTCGGGTAATATACTGTTCAAAATCAGTCTTTGAAAAAATGTATCTGTTAGTTGATTGCCTGGTTATGCTGACTGGACTACTATTAGGGATGTGAAATTAGTTGAAGATCGTGAATCACTTGAAAATTAGATCGAATTTTAGCTCAGATCAAATCATTTCGATCTGTCCTCGGCTTGGATCGGGATCGAAATAAATTCTTATGTATTTACATATATAACACCTAATTTTTTAGTTTTATATGCATAATGCATCACTAGCTCAATTGGTGAGGCCCTTTTTGCTTGAGAAGAGTAGTAGGGGTAGTACTCTCTTTTCACAAAAAAAAATTATTATTTTTTTCTAGTGGGCGGGTCAGGCGGCCAAGGTAGATTCAAGCCGGTCGATCTGGTTCATGAGCCAAAAATAACATTCAAGCCGGCTCGCTTACAATTCGAGTCGGCTCAAAAATTGAATCGATCCACGTTGGGTCAGATCGAAATTTACCGGATCAATCCATGATCCGATTTCGATCTGGTCAAAAATATTTCGATCCGATTTCAAGCCGGCCCTAGATCAACTCGAAATCGGATCGTTCACACCCCAACATGCTATATAGGTTTTCTAGCAAACGAAAGGATGCTCTGAATATAATTGGGCTATCTGTCATCTGGGGAGAAGGTGACCGTCAATTTCTATTATGAAAGATTTTTTGGTTGTTGATGCACAACCCACCCATGACGCGACCTTTGATCGCCGCCGTTCAAAAATTTCAGAACGATGGTATCCACCTTTGTTAAGCTAAATCTAAAATTTTCCAATGAGCCATAAAATTGATTATGAACCGCCTTGACAAGAGACGATCACAAATTAACACCTCTGAATGCAGTCAGTTACACAATTCCCGAGCCAACTTTGACATGAACTTACTAAGCCATACCAAAGCTTATCACACCATACCTTCGATAGAACACCCTTACACGTTTAAATTATGATCAACTATGGGCCTCATGTTTAAACTTTATAAAGCATAGCCCCTTAATACACTATCACCCAGATCCACTTGACAAATCTTTAAGGCAACTCATGAATTCCAATTAAATTTCCTGATAAAAAAGATCTCCAAGGTACATCCACTATACTAACCTAAAAATGAAACTCATATTATCCTATTTGAGTTGACCATCCATCTCCATCCAAACCCCCATGAAAAACTTCAATCATAAAAATAAAGTAAGTCTCAGTCAATCTCATGAATTAGTTAGGAAAAACAACAAAGACCTTATTTTAATGTCATTAATCCTTTTTTACATCATGAATTCTTTTAAAGAAACTTCCTAAAAAGAGAATCACACCTCAAACACATCAAATTTTATACAAGAACATATAATTTAAGGTGTTTGTCAAATGTCAGCAGCCAGGCCTTCAGATTCTGATGCAGCTTCTGCAATGTCTCCTTTCATCCATCTCCTCAACATCTCCAATGCAGCCCGGGGCTGATCCATAGGAACCATGTGTCCTGCGTCATGAACCTGGCAGAAAAACAAGTCATAATTGCAGGAAAACAAAAAATATTATTTTCTCAACACCCACCACATGAGTAGAGAATTAAATATGTATTTGTTACCTTTAAGAAACTCAGAGGGCCATGACTCTTCAGTTCTCCCGCCTGCTTACCATCGACGATAAATGGCTTCTCAGGCGATGAGGTGAAAGCTTGCTGACCAGACCATTCCATGGCATGAACCCATCTCGAGTTCCCTGATTAAGAAAAGCCATATAACTAACTATAAATACTTAATCTTTTAATAAAGTGTCAAAATGGTCTAAAGTAATCTTTCTTGGGATCATATCCAGATTAATTAAAAGATTATGTGGAGTAAATTAACACTTGTATACACTTTAGGACTAAAATGGCCCCATGTAAATAGGCTGAATACTATTCTGACACTTTACTTTGTTTGTAAATGAAACAGATATAAATCATAAAAGAAGCATTTTTTTTTCTTTTTGAGCGAGAAAAGGCTTACCAAGCCAATTACAAATGAGATCATATTCCCCAGCATAAACAAGCAGCTTGATGCCATCCTCAAGCAGAGCAGGGATGCCCACCTCCAAATTCCTCATCCAATCGGTGAGCATGGCTTCATATACCTTTGAGCTGCATGAAACAAATTCAATGTCCCCAACTCCAAGTGACTCTCTTACAGATTTTAAGTTAAGAAATTTCTCCATGTTTGAGAAATCATAACATAGACTGCCTTCACATTCCTTTCTGATGTCATAGTACTGCAAAAAATTGGGGGATAAAATTTAAGTTTAAGGAAAGTAAGGTGTTTAATTAAGAACTCTAGAATGCTAAGTAATGTTCACTTACATTGGTATTTCCAGCAATCTTCATGATTGAATTGAATATAGTGTTACAAACCATATATGAGGCCATGCAGGAAGCTTTTCCAGATGAACCTGAAGCATAATGTTTCAGATGAATATGGTGTTGCATTAGAATCATGGAAGATTTACATACATACCATTCAATTCTCATGTATATACATATTTTACACCTATAATTCAATTTTACATACATGCCGCATTATCTATGCACGAAAAGGTGTATTTCACTTTAAAAAAGTTAAAATGGAGGTATTTTTTATCTGATAGAAGATTTTAGTGGTGTAAATATAAAAAGTAAGGCTTAGGTGCTGGATATGTAAATACATAGGAATTGAGGGGTATGTAAGTAAATGCCCCTAGAATCATTCAGATGCAGAACTACTACCGATTCATGGACGCATAAACACTAAAATCTAGCCAACCAATTTTCATAAAGAGATGGATCAACAGGGAAATATTTAGGGTCTGCCTGGAAACAAATTAGCTTTTTTGTTTTTAATTTTTACTTTTATTTATAAAAATATGTTTGATTAGTGTATTTTTCACATAATTTTTTTTTTAAAAAAAATAATTCAGCAAAATATGTTTGATTAGTGTATTTTTCACATAATTTATTTTTTTTAAAAAAATAATTCAGCTTATTTATTTTTAAGAAGCTATAAAAATAATTCAGCTTATTTTTAAGAAGCACTAAAAAAATAAAAGTGATTTTGAGCATTTTTTAAAATTATTGGATTTATGTTCATAAGTTTAAGTTTTTTCAACATATTAAACATTTTATGTAAATACATAAAAACTGTGTTGTATTTACGTAAATTTGACTAAAAAAACATATACTGAAAGTTCACTATGGTTAGGAACATTACCGCATAGTTTAATGGCCAGCTCACAAGCTGGGTAAACTTTATTGATTCTTTTATAGTCAGATTTTTTAATTATTCCCATTTCCAAAGCATAATCTGTATAGGCTTTGTACTGGATTGCTGGATCAGTAAGGCCATTCCCAATAGCAAAGCCCTGTTTGATCACATCCCCACTCTAGTAAATAAACACATCAAACAATGGTGATTAGCGGAAATGGAGTTGTAGCGCTGCACCTTTAAGTTGATGTGAAGGCCTTCTTTAGCCTTGTTTCCAAGATGAACGCGTTTTGCAAAAGCAGGAATATAGTGCCCAGCATAAGACTCTCCAGTAATGTAAAAATCATTATTTACATACTCTGGGTGGTGGGAGAAGAATGCCTGGCCAAATATATAAAAATTAAGAGGTGAAATATCAATTTTTAGAAGCATTTACTCGATTCTCATATCACCCAATTCTTAGTATTTACATATCTAACACCTACAGTTTAATTTTTACATTTATACGATCACATAAAAAATGCCGTCATTTTAACTTTTAAAAAGCGAAATGCACTTTTTAATGCATACGTAAGGTTGCATGAATGTAAAAATTGAAGTTTAGGTAGTTTAGGTGTGAAGTTTAGGTGTTAGATACGTAAATACATAGGAATTAAGTGGTATATAAGTAAATCTTCCAACAAAAAAAAAAGTCAAATCAAATGGTTTTAGTGGTAAATTTATATCATACTTACATGTTGCTTGCAATCTTCAATTTGGAAAATTTCAGTAGAAATGTAAAATAACACAAAAAGACTTATCTGCTAACTTCAATTTCTATTATTATATACACAATATAACAAGAAAAGATGGAAAAAAGTTTATAATATCAATAATAAATGTAATTATGCTTGAGGTTAAATTGATATTTGGGTTCATAATCAAACTCTGACTTATGAAATGACCCAAAAGCGAATTACTAGTATCTTAATGATGTTTGATTAAAAGCTAAAGAACAATGACCCACTCAATAAAGATTATGTTCTATTATAATTTAGATTTGTGATAGTTTCATTTTTCTTTTATCATAGATAATTATTGCAACTCTTTTTTTTTTTTTTTTTTCTTCGGAATCTCTAA